TTGATTTGAAACTTTATGCTGGCTAAGATTTATTTTATAAATGTTGGTTTATGTGGCTTATTCTATTGCTATTTTGTAGGGATTATAAACTCTGTCTTTAAACTGCTTTGGGCATTCATTTAAAGCAGGAAGGCACCACATGCACATTATATATTTATATATATTATACATTATATAATATATTATATATAATATAATAATATATATTATATTATATATTAGCTTTTTTTGGGTAGCTTCAGAGTTGGCCACGCCCACTACAGCCAAAACCTCTGCGTGCATGGCTACAGAGGGAATACCTGGAGAGCGACACCCCACCCCCCCGCAACTCCGAGGCGGGCAGGCCAGGGGAGCCCTGGAAGGATCGGGGAGGCATATGCTAATGAGTTTCTGCTGTTGGGTGTGGCCTGTTATGCTAATGAGTTCTTGCTGGGCTTTTTCTACAAAAAAGCCCTGTATATGTGTGTGTGTGTGTGTGTATGTATATATATCTCAACAGAACTAGGAACACACTTGCTATAGGATGCGGTAAAAGTGAATGGGGAAGGGAGTGGCAAGGAAAAGTATCTGGCAGAGGAAGGGTTAGGCATAGCTGCTTCTTATCCACTATCCCTCTTCCTGATGCTTTGTAGTCAAGCAGGTACCCAAACCTAGACCTACCTCCCAATGTGTCTCCAGCCTTACAACATGCAGATTTTAAAAAAATATGCTTAGGTCAACACGAGTTGACTTCTTCAGCAGAGCTGCAATTGCAACGGTTAAACAGAGCTTGTGAGTGGATAGACCCTTGTCTGAAACACATCCCGGTTCATCACATGTTTCTGAAGGTTTTTACAGGTCTCTTGCATTGCACTATGTCTGACTACATGTAAAATCGATCCAGCGATCGGTTGAATGTATGCATGAAGCAAGACTCAAGGGTATCTGTCTTGGGGCCATGTTCAATCCCTATGTGACAGAACAGTAGAAAGGTTTCACTTCGAAAGTCTGATTCACATCACTCATTCACATGTAGTCTAAGGGCCAGCTGCACCCATCCACCAGGGCTAGTATCTGTGGTGGGCATGAAGGAGACTCTCCCAAAGTCTCTATCTCTCCCAAAGTCTGCAACCTAGCAGGTCCAACCTGAGCCTGAGATGCTGAATCTCTCTCTCATTTCCAAAGTGGGAGAAGTGCCTGGAGACAGCACTCTGCTGCCTCCTCCTGGAGCCCCCATAGATCAGCCCAGAGTCCCCTATAACACTGTAGCTATTCTACTTTTGAACCCACCTCAACAATTGAGCTCAAAGGAGAGCAAGGAAGCCACACTCCACTGTTTCTAGTGACCCTGCTACGAGGGAAGAAGAAGGGAGCCTTGACCATGGTGGGGGGATGGCTGTGACTAGCAGAGGGGAGAAGGAAACTGCAATGTACACCTTCTGCAGGCCCCTCCCACACCCTGTTTCTGTGGCACATGGATTGTGACAGGGGTCCCCAACACGTAGCCCGCAGGCACCAGGGCACCCACGGACAAGTTTTCTAGTGCCTGCCAAGCATTTGCAGGAAGTGGGTGGGACTAGGAGCAGCTTGTGCCAGCAGAGTTTTGGATTGGCCAGGAAAGTTCTGATTGGCTCTGCAGATGGGGGATAAAACTTTGCTTTAGTGTCCAAAGCAGCCATAGCACATGGATCGCCACTTCTGAATGTAAGCTGCGCAGGTGTTGGCCGTTATCCTTCCTTCCCATCCCTCCAGCCTGGGGCAGCGGGAGGTAGGAGGCAGGAAAGCCTGCTGTTGCACAGGCCAGCAAGCTTGCTCTGGTTGTGGGCTCTCTCACAGTCCAGCACCTGAACCAGCCTTAATGGGAGAAGGGGGGGGGAAGCCCGCCAAAGGGGGAGGCCAGCCTCCAGATGGTACCTGGAGATCCCCCGGAATGACAGCTCATCTCCAGACTACAGAGATTAGTTCCCCTGGAGAAAATGGATGCTTTGGAGGGTGGCCTCTGTGGCATTGTACCCCACTGAGGTCTCTGTCCTCCTCAGGCTCCATCCCCAAACCTCCAAGAGTTTCCCAACCTGGATCTGGCAACGCTACCCCCCACTCCCTGCTGGTGGCCAGGGAGAACCTGGCAACCCTACTGCCCAGATCTGCTGGCTGGCTCTTGTTCCCAGCATTGCTGATGCAGCCTGAGACAAAAGCTGGCTAGTCTGAATGGGATGGCAGCGAAAAGCCCCTCTTCCCACCCCAAGCCCCCAAGTGGCGCTGCTGCATTTGGGGAGAACAAGATGGCCAGCAAGTGCGGGTAAAGAGAAGTTATTCCTGCTCAAACCTGCTGGCATTGTCTTGTTCCTGTGCTGCTGCAGCAGCAGCAGCTGCCTGAGAAGCAAAACAAGCTGGCTGGTCTGAAGGCAGGTGTGAAGTCCGCCTCCAAAGCCTGCCCCCAAGCAGCTGGCTACTTTCCATCCCAAGCAGCAGCGCCTGGCTCAAGAGCTGGCTGGCTGGCTTGAAGCAGGGGAGGAGTAAAGTCCTTCTTCTCTCCCTGCCCCCAGCTAGCCAACTACTTTCCATCCCAAGCAGCAGTGCCCAGGAAAAAAAGCATGCTGGGTGGCTTGAAGGTGGGGAGGAACCCTTGTCTCCAGCTCCTGGGAGGAAAGCTAGCTGGCTGGCTGGTTTGAATGCTGGTACAAAGCCCCCCCCCCCTTTTTGTTGCAAGCAGCAGCATCTGGATGAAAGCAGGCTGGCTGTCTTGACTGGGTGTGTGTGTGTGAGTGGAGTTCTTGTCCCTTGTCCTGAGCACCACAACAGGGCTGAAGGCTTTGTGGATTTTTATGTGAGTGGGGAATCTCACATTGTTGATATCAGATAATTAAGGAGAGAGAAAAGGGGGGAGTCCAAAAAGGGGATCTACTTACAGTCCTCCTTACATTTACATGCAAATTGAGACCCTTTCTGCACAAGCGCAACCCTCCCCATCAGCGTTTGTAAATAATTGAAGTTTGTGAAACTTTCTGTACAACTTTTTGCCTCCCCAGGAGTAGATCAAAATTTAGTGCCCCAATACCCCATGTTTTCCAAATCTACTTTTTCCACCACCACCACCCCCCTTCAGATCTGAACTCACAGTTTTCCAGTGAGGAATTCCTGATTCCTGCCGCCCTTTTGTGTTGTCAGTGTCATGTGTTCATCCTGCCTCCCACTCTCCTCAGGTTGTCATCTGAGCAATCTGCCAATTTTTTAAAGCATAATGTTGATTGCGTTACGACACAATTTTTTTTCGTTATAATATAGCAAAGTTATAACATTGGGACATAATGGGCAGCGAGGTTTCATGTAGCCTTCTCCATGCAATTACCCATCCATGAAGTTCTTTCTTTCTTTCTTTCTTTCTTTCTTTCTTTCTTTCTTTCTTTCTTTCTTTCTTTCTTTCTTTCTTTCTTTTTCTTTCTCTCTCTTTCTTTTGTAGGTAGGTGTTCTTGACACATGCTTGTGTTGTTTTTTCATTCCCCCCCCTTCCCCTATAGCTCCAAATGTGTTTTCGACATCTAAAAATAATGGAATTATGTTATTGATTTGATAATCATGGAAACGCAACATGTGCAATATTTCCATTTAGTGTGCTTCATAATTATTGAATAACACTGTTATAAACTGGTGTATCCAGTTCCATGATTGAAAACGGAATACTATTTTCATTGGGATTTTGTGGGAATCTTCACCAGCCATTTTCTTAGTTGGCGACTAAGGAGGAGCAGGGGACCTTTGAAATGGCGGCAACCATGCTGTTCCCTAGGATAAATCTGCCCTTTTTTTACAATGTTATGATGTTATAATGTTACTGCTGCACATGTGCAAAAAAGGAGGTTCTGTTGCTGAGGAGGTACATGATGACACGGCCGCACAACCCCTTTTCAAAGGAAGTTCGGAACTAATGGGGAAGGTCAGATCCAAATTCAAGAAAAAATTCCCTGAAATAAATGCCCCTTTGCTGCAAAGTCAAATCATGAGCTGGGGATTCAACTCGCCGGGGAACAGTGGTGTTCCTATCAAAGTATCAAAATATGACCAGAATCTCTCTTACTGTACACATCAAGTATGCAGTGAGCTCTGACCAGCCTCACAGCACTTATCTTTCTTACCAAATGCAAAAGACTGGATATTATACCTAAGGGAATGAGAATTAAAAATCCACTACAAACCACTTATCCTGTTAACTATGGGGAATGGCTATCCTCTGCAATTAGCTAGCTCATGTATATTTATTTTGTGTCTGTGCAAGAAAATGTTTTTAAACAATATGTTATTTTTAAAAGGCCTCCTGTTATAAGTGTTTGTCTGAAATACTGAAGAGCTGTTTTCAGAGTTATGCATAATCTCACTCCTTGACATTTTGTAGTTGGCTCTGCCTCCCATGGTAGCCATTTTGTGACTGGCTGCACTTCCTGTGGAAGCCATTTTGTGCTTGCGCCCACCACCCTCTGTCAGTATTTCAAAAGTATCCATTAGCTTAAAAAGGTTGGGAACCCCTGGATTATGTAATCTTAGCCATAGCAATTATGATATTCTATATCCCATAGAGGGTTGGTGGTTCAAATCTCCATTCTGTCATGCAGTTTACTGGCTGAGTTTGAGCCACTTGTGATATCTGGATGCTGCCCTGATTGCCTTGGAGGAAAGGTGGAATAGTAATCTTATGAATAAACGAATACATGGAGTCCTGGGATTCATAATGCAATCCTAAACAGAGTTAAATCTGTCTGTCCATTGAAGGGTATGGGTTTGAAAGGGTGCAACTATGCATAGGATAGCGCTGTCAGCTACTTACTTGTGCAATAAGGGCTTCATCACACAGGTTTACCTATTAACATTCCTACTTCAGTATGCTAAGAACCCCACCTATTGACTTTAAGGATTCTGTTAAATCTAATAAGGGTCATTAAGAAAGAACATGAAACTTTCCATCATGCAACACAGATAATTACAGAATAACACACCATTCTTTTATTTTTATGATTAAAAAAGCCACAACGAACAGCTTGTTAAGAAAACAGGTTATGCCCTTAGGTGCTCAGCTGCTCCCCGCCCCATGTGTCTTCCGGCCTTGCGGAACTGTAGTGCTGGTTTGCTCGCTGCATTGTACACTGCTTGCAATAACAGGATTGTCATAGCTGGCTAGTCAAAGTCTGCGTGATTCTAGCAGTTCTGTCAGGAACAGACATTTTAAGGGTCTCATCGTCCCGTGACGCTGGACTACATGTGAGAAAGAGAAGCAATATCATTTAGGAAGGGCTGGAGCCTCATCCTGGCGGGGTCACCAGATCACGGTAGACTCTACAGCAAGCCCTGGGAGATACTGCTCCGCTTGGCCAGCAACTGGAAAGGAAGAAAGATGGCTGCCGGTCTTGAACAGTCTCTGGGATCCAACAGTTCCCTTCTCAATGGATAGTCTTTGGTTGCCACACTTCTCTTATCACAGTGTCGAGCATGTCACTCCTGCATCCTCGGCATGTCCACAGTTTGTTTTTCCCCAGCTGGGAAAGCTACACTGGAACAGGCTGTCCTCCGTCCCCTTACAGGCCACATCATCCATCCAGATACGCCCAGTTCCTGAGACAAGAATCAGATAGCACCATTAGCCAGAATAACTCACGCTGCTGCTGCTGCATGGGGTTATTTGTATCTTATCACAATCTCTATGAGAACACTTTCCATGTGGTCATGAAGAGATTGGGTAACAAGGTTAACCAAGAGCCATAAAATTCCCCTCCTTGAGGCTCACCAAGCCCAGCCCTAAACACATATGAAGAAGAAGACGAAGAAGAAGAGGAGGAGTCTCAGAGCGGCTTACAAACTCCTCCCCCTCCCCACAACAGACACCCTGTGAGGTAGGTGGGGCTGAGAGAGCTCTTTCAAGAGCTGCTCTTTCAAGAACAGCTCTGACAGAACAATGGCTTGCCCAAGGTCTAATATTCTCCCCACCTGAAAGAGGAGAGAAATGAACAACAATGAAGCAAAGGGCCCAGGGACAAAAGGTTATAGAACAGAACAGATGAGAATGAATTTAATCCACTCGTCCCCTTGAGACTTCCCCACACCCATTCCTTTCCAGGCAATCCAGAAAAAAAGTGCACATTTCTACCTTATATCTTCACAAGGAAAAGGTCGAAGGGTGTCACTTTAAAAAAAAAAATCAAAGTTGGCGTTTTAGAGAAGTGGCATCAGAGATCTCTAGCTAAGGGCCTGATCTGAAGGTCAATTTGGAGGCATCTGTTCAGGCAAACACTGGTAGACTGTTGAAGGACATAGGGATGCCAGCCTCCAGGCAGGACCTGGGAATCCCCTGGAATTACAGCTCATCTCCAGACTACAGAGATCAGTTCCCCTGAAGAAAATAGATGCTTTGGCAGGTGGACTGTTTGGCATTTTACCCCACTGAGGTCCCTGTCCTCCATAGGCTCCACCCCCAAATCTCCAGGAGCTTCCCAACCTGGATCTGGCAACCTTACCCCACCACCCCCCTCCAGTGGTCTTGGGGGACCTGGCAACCCTAGAAGGACCTGAAAAGAACTTTGTTAGGAAGTGTGGAATTTCTCAGTGGTAACTCACATCTTGACTAAAGCTTAAATCGCAGCACATTGGGAAATTTTCCTTATCTGAAGAATTCCATGGGCAATTAATACAGCTGGAATAAGACTTGTGCGTTTTTTTCCAAGGGCAACCTATGAGAAAAGATCTGCTGGATCAGAACAATGGCCCATCTAATCCAGCATCCTGTTTCCCACAGTGGCCAACCAGATGCCCAGAAGGCCCTCAAGAAGAGATCCAGAAACCCAAGCCTCCTCATTGTTGCCCCCCAGCATCTGCCAGCCGCATTCAGAAGTCTACTGCCTATAAAGATGGAGGTTCCCTTTAGCTGTCATGGCTAACAGCTCATCCGTAGATGATTTCACAAATCCGGCAAAATCCCTCTTCTAGCAGAAAGGAGAGAAGAGTCTTATGTTCCTACCAGTTTTATTAGGGATAACAGTATTTATCTGCCTTGCAAGGTTATTGTAAAGATTATAGTGATTGTAGGAAAATGCTATATAAACAAACATGTTTAACTGTATGTATTACTATTGTGCTCAGTCCAACAAGAAATTATTCTGCACAAGACCAACTGAAATGAAGGAGAGCTGGCAAAGGATGTTCTTGCAGTGAATGAGGTTTGCACAGGAGAATTCCCCCTAGATTTTGCTCACGATTGTTAACATGCATTTAAGCACAAACAGTACACTTGGTCCTATACAGAATGTGAAAGTGATGACTGGATCAGACGGTTTTACGATCCACATTAGAGGAATCAGAAGAGAGCTGACCAATAATCTGTAAAAGAGTAGGACAGAGGGAAGTCAAGGGGCAAGGACAGCAAGAGGGGACACACTTGACTGGATCTGGAGAGAGCGGTTTTCCTTGTACCACCACTTTGCATGGGGAAACCTTCCAAGCTTAGGGTTTTGTAAATGGCCAGATATGCTGAATAGCTCCCAGAAACGGGTCTTTCCCAAGATCTGCTACTCGCGTGACTTCAGTGAGATGCAAGCAACTGAACCTGGAGCCTTCTGTAGAATGTGATTTTGTATATGGAGTTCAGCTTGCTGAAAATTTTAATTCCCTTTTAAAAAAGCAATTTTCTAGTCCTCGTGGTTGTGAAGATATGCTTGAATGTGTACGTGAATAAGAATGGCTGGATATGATTTCATAAGAACATAAGGAGAACCCTGCTGGACCAGACCAGTGGTCCAGCTAATAAAAACAATAAAAAGCTAATAAAAACAAGTTATAGAATGAAAGCACATGAAGCAAACTGTGTTTTAAAATGATATTGATTAAATTGTAGTTTGGCAAGGAGCAGACCATGAAGTCCAGCATTCATCTTAGGGCTGCCAAGTGGGGGCGGGGGTGGGTAAACCACTGCTTCGGAGGCCCGATTTCCGCCGCCGCAGAATCGGGCCCCGGGGGGGACTCCGCCCCCCGAAGCGCAGCGTGGCCGCGTCACCAGAGGTCACTTTCGGTGATGTGCTGGCGGCGCGTGCATCAACGGAGAGCTCCCGGAGCCCAATGAGGCTCCCCCGCCGGTAGGGAAAATCAACTTGGCAACCCTAATTCATCTAGTCCAGCATTCTGTCTCACACAGTAGCCAACAGGCACAGAGGCTGAGGCCCTCCACTGATGCTGGTTCTCCGTACTGGTATTCAGAGGTTTGCTCCCTCTGGATATGCAGGCTCCCTTCAGTTACCATAACTAGTAGCCATTGATCGATGGCTCCTCCATGAATCTTTCTGACTGGTGCCTTGCCTAACTCATTGCCCCCTCTTCTTGTCAGCAAAAGCTTATGAAAAAGAAATTACTTAGATGCGATTAATTTGCCTTATTTACGCAGGCCACAGAAAGTTTTGCCTATCAGTGCAGAATCTCAGTTACCTTAGTACAGGATCTAATTGCTTTTCAATGCATATAATTCTACAAACAGCCTTATCAAAATAAATACAGGATATTTTCATAGATTACAACCGGGTCCTATGAAATGTTCTTGTGTTGCTTTACCAGAAGGGATTCCAGGAATTCCTTCTTGTCCAAACAATGTTTTGAGCACACGTGGGTGGTGATGGAGCATTGCCTGGCTGCCTGAACAAGCCTCACAGCTCAAGTTTAGCATCTAGTTATAGGGACATCTTGGGATGTCTTGTAAGAGTTGTCCCTCGCTGACTTGGGACTGCTCAGTTTACAAGTAGAAGGAAAGAAGTTTCCCCCTCTTCAGACGCCAGTCCTCCCAGATTCTCCAGCTGGGAGTCATGAGTCAGGCCTCATCCTTTCCAGTGTGTGAATCACCAGCAATAAAGACGATTCCATACGCAAGAGTGCTGAAGGACTCCCTCGACGAAGTGGATAATGATGCTTAAATCCCAGCCAGGAAAAGCTGGGCCTGAATCTTCCAGGATTCATGGAAACCAAATAGAGACCAGGAGGAGATTTCTAAGTATGGGAGGAAGGAGCATTCGAGGAAGGAAAGTGTGAGATGTTTCTTTTGAATGGCCCCAGCAACAAACAGTTCCATTTGGAAGTGGAGTCAGGTGGTGGTGCATATTTATTTAGTCCATTTGCCATCTGGTACTTCTGCAGGATTGCAGAGCAGATGACCATGGGTTTAAACCTGAACCTTTTAGAAATGTTCAAGGGGCTGTGGCTCAGTGCTTTGCATGCAGAAGGTCCCAGCTAAATTAATCCGTTGGAAATCTCAGAAGCCAGAGAGAGAACCTAAAAAGAGTCCTGCTGGATCAGACCAGTGGTCCATCTAGTCCAGCATCTTGTCTCACAGTGGCCAACCAACCTCTCTGGAGGTACAGCAGCAGGGCATAGAGGCCGAGGCCTTCCCCTGATGTTACCTCCCAGTATTAGGATTCAGAGGGTGACTGTCTCTGAATGTGGAGGTTGACTTTAGTCACCGTGGCTAGTAGCCACTGATAGACCATCTTCTATGAATCTTAGTCCACTTTTAAAGCTGTCTATACCTGTGGCCATCACTGCATCCTCTAGCAGAGAATTCTGCATTTTAATCACTTGCTGTGTAAATATGTATTTCCTTTCATCCATCCTGAATCTACTGCCCATTGGCTTCATTGGATGCCTTCGAGTTGTAGTATTTTGGGACAGGGAGAAAAAGTTCTCTTTGCCATGCATAATTTTATAAAACTCGATCACATCTCCCCTTAATCATCTCTTTTCTCAACTGAAACATCCCAGACTCTTCAGCCTTTCCTCATAGGGAAGGTGCTCCAACCCTCAATCATCTTGGTTGCCCTCCTCTGCACTTTTCCCATACCAGAACTGGGGACCAGAACTGCACACAGTATTCTAAATGAGGCTGCACCATTGATCTATACAGGGGCACGACAATGTCAGCCATTTTATTTTCAGTCTCTTTCCTAATACTCCCCAACATAGTCTTTGCTTTTTCCCCACTGCTGCAGCACACTGCGTTGACACTTTCATTCACCTGCCTACTATGACTCCAAGACATTTCTCCCTCTCAGTCTCAGCTTCAGACACCATTAGCTTATTATGACTATCAGAAATAAAGGGAAACCAAGGATATGCAATGCACTTATGGAACTCAGTGCCGCTGGATGTAGTGATGGGCAGAATGTTTGATGAGTTTCATTGTTTAAACAGTTTTGTGGAGGATGACTCCATCCTGGCTCTGATGGCTCAATAGAGCCTTCTTGTTCAGAAGGGATATAGGCTCTTTGGCCTCTGTGCCCCTACCCATGGACCTTCAATGGGTTAACCTCAGTAGGAAACAGGATGCGGGACTAGATGGACCATTGGTCTGAGCCAGAAAGCCTCTTTCTACATTCTTAACAATACACAACTGTGCTTGAGTCACAAAAGACATGTAGGACAGGTTTATGTCTGATCAGCACATAGGTATGAAAATGACTGTTCAAAGGCAAAGTGGGTGGATCAGACAGGATGACAGCCACAGATGTTTTTGCACAAACCAGCCACAGTAATGTCCAGATGCTTGCGTATCATCCTTTCCTCCCCTCTCCCACATCCAGAGGTGATGAAAAGTCTGGAGTGGCGCTAACACAGCCATGGTTTGGAGACCATCAGCACATCTTCTGTCCCATCATGGAGCAGGGGGTCTGCTATGTCTCTGCAGTTCTTGTCTGGAAATGGTTCCAGCTGATTGCCTCTTGCAGTCTCCCCGCCTTTTGTTCCCAGGCAGGAATGTCTAACTACACAAATACTCGCAGACCTAAAAGGCACTGCAATAAAACCATTACATAAACCATTCAGAGGGACCTTGATCAAAGCTTGGGAAATTGGTGGGGGAAATGAGAACACTGATCTTTGTTAGTTAAAAAAAAAATCAGAATTTTATCATTGGTTTACGGTCTCCAAAATGACTCCTGTCCACTTCCAATTAAACAATATAAAAGAAGAAGAAGAAGATATTAGATTTATACCCTGCCCTTCACTACCCTAAGGAGTCTCAGAGCGGCTTACAAACTCCTTTCCCTTCCCCTCCCCACAACAGACACCCTGTGAGGTAGGTGGGGCTGAGAGAGCTCTGACAGAAACTGCTCTTTTTTCAAGAACAGCTGTGCCAGAGCTTGTGACTGACCCAAGGTCACTTCAGCAGGTGCAAGTGGAGGAGTGGGGAATCAACCCTGGTTCTCCCAGATTAGAGTCCGCGCACTTAACCACTACACCAAACTGAAATGATGTGTAAATGTGTGGGTTAGAAACGATTTGGATGAAACACTGACACATTTCAGAGAGGATATAGAATAACAACACTTTTGGAACACTTCATGCACATTATTTTGTTGTAATCTTTACAACAACCCTATCAGGTAGGTCTGTATCATTATCTCCTTTTGTAAATGATAGGAAGGGGGGGGGGCTGAAAGAGTGACTCGTCAGAGGCCACTTAATGAGTTTGTGTGGGATCCCAGTGTGGGCTTTTAGCCTCTGTGCTGCTCATCTGGTGTCACTTGTCATTTTTGTAGGGCTTCAAAGACTTGCAAAACCTGCTTGGTCAGAGGAGACAGTGGGACAAAAGACCCTGGGCAAGGATGCTTGGAATCATAGGTTTGGGTCCTGCCAAAAATTACCATTGATTGAAGGATTTCCCTGAGCAGAGGGCAGTTTTCATACCTCCCTCCTCCTGTTGTGGTCCAAAATGCCCCCCCCCCCATGCTGCTCCTGGAGGATGGGAGATCCCCAGAAGCAGCATGCGGGAGAAACCAGAGGTATGCAAGAAGGGGAAACAGTTAAAAGTATCCTGCCTTCCACCCATGGAAATGTTAAGAGAGCAAGGCAGTCATTTCTCATGGACTGGCTCCAGAGCTCTTTCACTGTTAAGAGGATCTTTCTTCGCATTAGCAATTAAACATCTAAGCAACTAATCCACCCAGATATGTATCCCTCTTTCTCATGGAAGATGTCTCTCTGGTTCAGGCAGAGCATTGTGATAGAAGCTTTCCTTATGTGGTACCAATTCCATGGACAACTCAGGAAGGCTATCATTCCAAGAATGGAGACCATGTTTTTCTTTACCTTGTCCAAATGCAGCCATCCTGTAAACCTCTTCAGCACCCCGGAAACCCAGCATCCGGCACACAACATCACCGTCCTTTGTATCCCAGCCATCATCACAAACAGTCCCCCATAGTCGGCTGTAGAAAACTTCCACTCGCCCCTCGTGGGGGCCCGAGCCATTCACCAGACGGATGACCCCCTCTACTGGAGCAGGTGCTGTGGGGAGCATACAGAAGAACATAAAAACCGATGGAATTAAAACCATTTACCGTCAGGGGTGTTTCTTCCTCCTAACTGACATCTTGAGAGAAATGTGGGGAACTTACCCAATTTCTTTCATGCTGCTTGCTCAGCAAAATATTATATACCTCCTAAAAAGGGATGGAATATACCTTCAATATCACAACATTATTAGTGATATTATGAAATTGTGTGACCACTCTGGTTCAGTTTGAAAGTTGGAATGTCCTTGATGGTTTCTCAGTGCTCAGTGCAGCTACCTTTTCCACAACCAAAATAACCAACAGATAAGAACATCAATGTTAAAATTTACACCTTTTTGCTCCCCCCCCCCAATCAAGTCACAGCCAACGTATGGCAACCCCGTTTTTCGAGATAAGAGACATTTAGAGGTGGTTTACCATTGTCTGACCCTGCGCAGCAACCCTGGACTTCCTTGGTGGTCTCCCATCCAAGTACTAACCCGGGCTGACCCTGCTTAGTCTCTGAGATCTGATGAGATTGGTCCAGCCTGGGCCAACCAGGTCAGGCCTTTTTGCATACAGATGGTGTAAAAATCTAATTTAAAAATGAATAAAATAGGGAAACTAGCAAAGAAAACAGGCAGGCCAAAAAGACTCAGAACAGATAAGTACGAAATCTAAAATTAATGAAAACTCGGGGGGGGGGATTGTCTATCCCCTAAATGCCACTTTTCCTGGATAGGTTCCTCCTCCAGTTTGAATACTGGATACTGATCTATTTGTTCATTTTCAAAACAGAGGAGAAGCAAAATGTGAAGGATGAAATGAAGGATGAAATATTCCAACTGGTTTCTGCGCAAGCTTTTGTGGTAACAATGGGGATAAAATGTATGTGTATATTTTAAAGGCATTTTTGCCCCCACGTTATCAGCAGTGGGAGCTCCAGAGTTCTTTTCTAGCATAGCAAAAACTGACATAAAGAGATAAAGCACACCATCCAACAGCCAGAAGAATGACTATAAGCCACGATAATAAAGCAATGAAAATAAGAGCTTAAACTTGCCAGCCAGTTCAAAAAGTACAGAAGAGAACTACACTATACCTATTAAATAAGTGAATAAACTGTGCTTTCAATTAAAAAACCCCCAAAGTACTTTCCGACCATCTGTAAAATACAGCTTAAAAATTAGACAATAAAATTGTTCATTTAAAACAAAATACAATAAAACAGAAGCACTGGATAAGATCAGATCAAAGCGCACTGATTCCAGCAGCAATAAAGTAATTATATAAAATGCTAATTAAATGCAAGAGATCCATAGCAATAAATAAACAGAATGCCAGGACAAAACAGCAGGGCTGCAACGTATGGGGGGGGGACACCCACGTCACTAAAACAATCATCATATAGCAGCAAAAGTCTTCACTCGGTGCTGAAAATTAGATTGAACCACCAGCTTATGAGCTGGATCCAGCCAGTTTATTCATTTAATAAACACAGATCCCATGATACCCAGCATAACTTCACTGGGTGATCACAGAGGACCCACCCCTTCCCTTTTTTTTTTTAGCAGAAAAACTATGTTTTTTATAGAAGTACCCATGCCCTACCCTAGGGTTGCCAGGTCCACCTGGCCACCAGCAGGGGATGGGGAGCTAGGGTTGCCAGATCCACCTTGGGAAACTCCTGGAGACTTGGGGATAGAGCCTGGGGAGGACAGGTGGGGTACAATGCCATAGAGTCCACCCTCCAAAGAATCCATATTCTCCAGGGGAACTGATCTCTGTGGATTGGAGATGAGCTGTAGTTCCAGGGAACCCCCAGGTCCCACCTGGAGGCTGGCATCCATACCCTGCCCTCATCAATCTCAACCCCCAAATCTCCAGGAATTTTGAACCTGGCGTTGGCAGCCCTCTGTGGAAGTGGGACAAGGGCCTGTCTCCTAGATCTGCACATTCAGAATTCCTCGCTTATTTGGTTGAAAAGAGCTTTATTCCTCAAACAGGACCCATGGAGTTCCACAGGATCTTAAACCAAACGGAAGGCTCAACCTTTCCTGGTTTGAACCTGAGGCCCAACTTTGATCTGCTCAGCAGACTTAGAGGGGACTTCCAGGGCTGTGTCTCCCTTTTAGCCTGGCTCTTAGGAAGGACTTGTAATCTTGACTAGTCTGGGCCTCTTCTTGAACTTCAGAAAGGCAGTTGGGAGTTCAGTTCCCAGCCGCAACTCCAGTTCATTCTGTATTGGAGGGGAATGGTTCTATGTTCTGGCACCAGTTTTATGGAAGTTATTTGATATTAGCTGGGTGAGACACTCACACATGTGTATTTATGTTGTTAATTGGACCAGAGATACCCAGATGTGTAGAAATAATTGAAGCCTGATGGTGTATAAGGAGTTCATAATATGTTTCAAGTTTTTAATTTGGTTATCTTACTGGCTCTAATGATTTATTATGTTTTTCACAGTGTGAGTGGGATGTGACCGTGCTGATTATGATTATAAGCCACTGATGAAGGCTTTGTGCTGAAATGTGTTTGGCATTGTGTTTTATTTTACTGGGCCTTGCGTGTTATCTTATTGTATGTGCACATTTGTTTCCTCTTTGTGATTTGTTTACGTATTAAAATACTGGTGTTATATTTTTGTGCACATAATTGAATTGGTTCATTCGTATATTGCAACTGTAGCACGGCGAAAGGGGCCTAAGCCCAAGCAAAGACCACCAGATCAACAGGAGAAGAAACTTTAATGGCGCCAGGTTCAGTAAGCGAAGAATGCTTTAAACAGACTGAACCCAGAGCCACGCAGGCTCCAGGCTTTTATACAGCAACAAAGTTACATGTCACATCTTACATCATAATAGTGGACTTTTCCGCTAACTAGGCTTATTTTTCCCGCCCAAAACAAACAAGCTTACTTCTGCCCCTATTGGCTGGAATGTGACCAGCAACTATCCCCTTATATGGTCAAAGAGTCATTTGAATGATAAATGCCTGCTTCACAACCTTCAACCTTTTTGCTTTTTCCTGTGTTCTCGACCTTTTGGGTTTACCCTCTCTTTTCTGCTTAGACGTTTGTACCTTTTTGTGTGGTTACTGAACAGCTGGCCAGAAGAGATGTGGAGGAGACTATCAGTAATGGCCTTTCGTACAGTCTGCAAAGTCTGCTCCTTCACAGTCCCCTGTCTCCTACTGTATGGTTTTATTTGTGAGAAGTGGAAATGTGTATAAAAATTTATGGCCATTTTTTAAATTTTTAGATTGCTACGTTGCCTTAATTACATGAGCCATCCCGATTGCAGGATAAGGCAGTATACAATTAAAAACATATTAATATATATATAGAACCCAGCAGCCTGGCTTCCCCAGCAGAAATACATACTCAATTTTTTTTTTTGGGCCAATAATGCCAGTGTTGTGTAATGTTCAAAGGGTGTGGGTCTGGGTTTAAATCCTAGGGTCTTTGTGCTGGCTACTCCTTCTCAGCCTGCCCTACCTTGCACCCTAACCCTATTGCAAAGATAAAATGGAGGAGAGGAGAAGTATGGGTTCCTAAAAATAAAAACCCTATTTCTCTTTCTATATCTATACAGACTAGGGTTGCCAGGTCCCCCCTGGCCATCGGAGTGGGGTGTGGGGGTAGGGTTTCCAGATCCAGGCTGGGAAAATCCTAGAGATTTGGGGATGGAGCCTGGGGAGGACAAGGACCTCAACAGGGTACGATGCCATAGAGTCCACCCTCCTAGGTATCCATTTTCTCCAGGGGAACTGATCTAATTAGACTGGAGATAAGCTGTAATTCCAGGGGATCCCCAGGTCCCACCTGGAGGCTGGCATCCCTAAGAGCCAGCATGGTATAGTGCATAAGAGCTGTGGACTTAGGGTTGCCAGACCCCCCAGTGGAGGCGGGGGGGCCCTGCCTCCAAGCCTTACCCCCAGCCACTGATCATTGGCTGGCCGGGGGGACTTTCCAGGAGACAGGAGAAGGCTTAGGCCTCATTGCTGGCATTACACAGGAAGTGACATCATCGTAACAGTGATGTCTGGGTGACGCTCTGGTATTTGGGCAAAACGTCTATAGTAGAAGCTGGTTTTACCATTGTGTTTTTGCCCGTATACCAGAGCATTGCATGTGCATCCCTGGTGTGATGACATCACTTCCTGTGCTACGCCAGCAATGAGGCCTAGCCCTTTCTCTTTCTCCTCGTAAGTCCCCACTATCCCCCACCGATTGCCAGGAGGGATCTGGCAACCCTAGGCGGCCTCTAATCTGGAGAACCGGGTTTGATTCTCCACTCCTCCACATGAAGCCTGCTGTTACAGTTCTCTCAGGACCCTCTCAGACCCACAAGGTGCCTATTGTGTAGGCTTGCCAAGTCCCCCCAGGGGGCGGGGAAACCCCCGCCCCAGAGGCCCGTTACCTGCCGCCGGCAGATCGGGCCCCGGGGGGAAACCCACCCCCAAAGCACGTGACATGCCCGGCATCAGCACATCACCCGGAAGTGATGCAGCCACGCTGGGCGTGCCAGGGGCGGGGCCATGGTCATCTGAGGGAAAAACTTCCCACGGATGACCACGGCCCTGCCCCCGGCGCGCCCGCTCCCGGAACGGAGCTGGAGTCCCCCGCTGTACATACAGCGGGGACTTGGCAACCCTACTATTGTGGGAGAGGAAGGGAAGGTGACTGTAAGCCACTTTAGGATTCCTTAGGGCAGAGAAAAGTGGGGTATCAAAAAAACCTTTTCTTCTTCTATATCTGTATCTCTATCTATCTATCTATCTATCTATCTATCTATCTATCTATCTATCTATCTATCTATCTTATCTATCTATCTATCTATCGATCTATCTATCTATCTACACATACACACACACACACACATACACACACACACACACACATATATATAGAAAAAGAAGTGGGAATTAAGCTCTCATTACACCAATAGTACCGATACATATGAATCTGCAAACTTTAACTTGGGAAATATAATATAATGTTTAATATAA